TAAATAGATAAGTCTTGCACCAATTCTCTACACTATAGTTCATTACCATTGAATTTTATTTAGATCCTGAAAGTTCGTGTATGAGTTCAAAGATAATGAACAAATATATGACTGTTGAATTGTATAGTCCTTATGCCCACAGAATTCAAACAATCTTGTTAAAATGACGATTATGCTAAACGACTTCACGTTGGTATGTGCTTACCTTATTGCTGGATGTTCAAATATGACCTGTATAGTACCAATTCATCAGTAAGGCTTATTTTTACCATTGAAAGAACTGATAATACTTCAGAAACTTCCACTCGGTGACCCAATAGTGTGATTTAATTTTCCTTACGAAGATAATAAAATTCTTTACTTCAATGTTAAATGATACCTGAAGGAGCAACGATTCTGTTTATGTTTAAGATAGGTATCACTGGTCAGCTCATACAAGCTCAAAACAACTATCAAGAAAATCCTGATAATTACTAATGGCCAAATAAACGATAAGTCATGCATGAACTAACACACACTAATCCATAAACACCTGTGACACCACAGATTGAAAGAGAAAGGTGAATTAGCTCTCCATTTTTTACAACGATAAGAATTCCTGATGCAATTTTAGATGAAAAAAATTGGAGTATTTAGGACACCAGTTTACGTTTGAAAGCAAAAAAGAAAAAAATTATTTTAATATAACTAATCTGTCACACAAACTGTAAAAATACAAAAGTGATCCCTAATAATTGTTGAGTTTACTCTACTTTACCAAACTGAGGTGTAAATTTAGGGTATTCAATCTCGAATAGTTTTAAAAAGATAATCAGATAAAACAAAGGCATAAATGTTTGAAACTAGACTTGAATAAGTTTTTTAAACTGAAATTCTTGTTGCGAATGTCAACAAACTGTTGTTAACGTAACAGTAATATGATGCACGCATTTCGAATATATATATATATATATATATATATATATATATATATATATATATATATATATATATATATATATATATATATATATATATATCACTGAAATAACGAAAACGCAACTGTTCCAATAAGTCCCATCACTGTTTTCAAATCTAAAAGTGTGCAACCTTTTAGAAAGACTATGAAATCAATTATGCTTGAACCGATGAAGTTAGATATATTTTCACTTGGTTGCCATATAAGATAAATCCATAACTTCGATTACGCTGGTGTTGGAGATGATTGATAAAATGTTGTTGACTACTACTACTTGATCCAAAAGGATCGAAACATAAGAATCAAAAATCATTCATATTATTTTCAGAATAATTAAATGACGCCTCCTCAACACGATCCTTTCTAAAATGACGTTATGTATCTGTTTTCTATTCAAGACAGCGAGGTATATTAAACTGATGCTATAAACCAGCTACCCTAACCATGGGCTAAAAATCACCTCAATCTAGTTATTAAAAGTTCAAAAGTAACGTAACCAATGCCCGGATATTCACGTTAACCAGCGCTTGTCTACTCATGTGTAATAACCAGATCATGTGAAACGAAAGTGAATGATTGTATGGCTTGAAACGTTTTGAGGAAACCAAAGCTTCATAACCATAGCTGCCGTAAGATTTTCTGCATAGGTTTAAAAAAGTCTGATATTTTAAACTCTTTAAATATATGTGAGTTTCTTTTACATAATTCACTAGTATATCCTTAAATTTAGTAGGCTTTTCTTCAAACAAGCTTGTACAAATTAAATTCTGGCAACAGAAAGGGTACTGCATATTACATGTAAATGGATATATGATATTAAGTGACTAGACGTAGTTTGGAGGAAACCCTTGACCTGGCTTACGTGCTACTAGGCATTCATCAGAAAGGAATGTCTGTACTTCTGGAGGATTTAATGTTCGCCGGTATTTTCGAACCTTGGTCACTCAGGTTTACATTTTAGGACGTTAGGATCGAGCTGTTTGGGAAGCCATGCCTTGTCTTTTGGGCTAGTGGTCAGGTTATAATTCGATCGATAGAATCGAATCACCACCAAAGTTTAAAAAAATATGAAACTGGTCACTACTTGGTGGCATACGACATTTTTTAAAAATCTCAGACTTAAAAGTTTATCAACCTTACGTGCTCAAAAGATCCGCAGTCACACCCCTAACTCTCAGTATTAAAAGAGGAAAGTTCCAAACAGCCTGAAAAAGCTCATGGTTAAAGTAACTTTGAACTACACTGACCCATATCACATTAATGAGTACAGCTGGAAGGGTTAAGGTTGTGGGGTCAAATGTTCACTATAATTATTGTCTGGTAGTTAATAAACCTGACTGTTTATTGAAAAACACTTTTTATGTATGAGTTAATTATGAACAAGTTAACAAAGAATACACCTCATTACAATAGTATATTATAGTAAGCGCAACACATTCCAAAGTGATTAAAAATTCATAAAATATCCATCAGGAATGAAAAACAACTATCGTCCTATTTTTGAAGTCTTCAAACCTTCTGAAACTAACAGATGACAGTAACTTTATACAGAGCATCTAGTCAACTCAATCTTTATCTATTTCTATAAGTAGACCGATTGTCAGTTTTCAGTTCAGTTAATTCCAGTTGAAAGCATTACTGCAGACTTAAAATCAGACATTTTTATCAAAACTAACACTAAGAATAACTCTTTTTTAGAAAGTATTGACAGTGGTCAAGTGGATAAAAATATTCACAATAATTTCGGAGTACACGTACACTAAACCATTAAATGCTACTTTCCTTAGTATGGAGACTCTTGACAAAAAGATTGCCAAAACCGTACATCATGTTCTCATATCAGATTGGGTGTCTTCTTCATCTCAAACTTAATCGTAATTAAAAATGATTCGACTGAACCACTATCAATTCTCCTTTAATGACACAATGGTTTACTTTCGTAATTAATCGTAAGTGTTCACACTGGCTCCAGTTTAAGATGAACAAAGGTTAACAATCTACCGGTGAATTTGGTTAAATTAAGAGGAATAATATTTAGAGGACAACATTTTGTCATCAACACTCTTCGATACTTTATGATACTTAGATAAACACTGACTTATGATAAGACAAATAGTTACAGTCTGACCAAATGCAACAACTTAGTGAATATTCATCCTTAATTTTGTGACAAAAATTTCTGCTAAATGTTGTTTTTTACATACTTATTATCCCTCACACCTAACTCTGCTTATGATTCTTTTGTTTATGGAGTCTGCAATTAGGTCAATAGTGCTGTAAAGTGATAGATCGTACTGGAAATTATAAGGGGTTAAAGAAATAATATCATCGTTTTTAGACTACGCAAACCTTATTTTAACATAGAAACACTAAGTTATGCTGATTATAAAGAATGCTTTTCAAAAATACAGTCATTCTGTTGACGTTAACTGCAACAATTTAAAAGTGACTTCTGTTATTCTTGATAATTGTCTATAAATTAGTAAACCTTGAAAGAATCTTTTTGACCTAACGCTAAACGTAATATTTTTTGATATTCCATCAAGCAATCAATTATTTCTCTGGAAATTGTTTTCTCTCAAAATGCCTGTTACATCGATTATCATTAAACTGAAAATTTTGGTTCGATCAAAGTGGCCAAAGGATAGGTTGGGGTATCATTGTCGAAATTAAGACTTCAACTTTTGTTTTCCTCAATAATTTAAGTCTTCTTAATTAAGGTTCATATTTTACCAGTGTTTACGGGTTAATAGAAGTAATGTTTTGTTTATGACTCATCTTATGTGAAACCAAGCTAACTGTGGCTAAACAATCGCGAAATAATTTTGATGCCCTGCAGGGGCTTTGCATTCCACATCTATCGGTTCAACTACATACAATTAGTATTCTAAGGATGAAGATCACATAGCTTAATTAAATCATAGTAATACTTGCATAATGTGATCCAGCTGATAATAAGAATGCTAAAGGGGTTAATAAATATATTTATATGACCGAATATGAAACTGAATTCAACAACGAGAATTGTGGGAGCTCTAAAGTCAAAGATTGTAGATGCTAGAATAAAAGACGTACCAAGAAGTACTGAAAAAAACTTATAAATTATCAATCCGTTTCTTGCACTTTATTTCAAAGCAATCACAAGTGTACGTAAAATTGATCTAGTTATATGCACCTTGGACAAACTCAAAAAATGTAATCTGAACCAGAAACGTCCAATTCCATGCGTTTGCTTAATGAATGGTTCATGCAATATCAAGATAAGAGAAAAGTTTATATATAAAAGGAAAGTGATTAAAAGACGACAAAACCTTTGGTATTTTAATTTTTATCTAACGCTGTTTACCCTTAGTCATTCCAGTATACAATATAAATGGACTGCTTCATGCACAATAGTGTCGAGAGATATTGAAATTTAAACAAAATGTGCAGCTATATGAGCGAAATTTATTCACCAGGTTTGAAAAAATGTTGTTTTGGACAATTCGAATGAGGATGAAAATTGAACTCACATGATTTTTCAATTATCCAAAGTTATTTCTAAGAAACCTAATCTTCTGTGAAAGCTTAAAACTATACATTTGTTCAAAGGGATGAAGATTGGGTTTTGTCAGTGGTTTTATCACAATAACAAGATTTTTCAGGATAATGGTAGCGAAAACCACGAATGGCTGAAATATTAAAATTATGTCACAAAATTTGTTTAGGTTGCTCTGACTTATCGTTTTTCACCAAACATTTCAATAATTACTTCAGAATGTTTAACCAAATTTATGCTTACAAGCCGATGAGCCTTGAAATCACCATTTATAAGACGTGTGCATTTAGGCTTGAGATTTGGTGTGCAAACAAAATATAATAACAAAATATTTTTAACCCATATTTGTTTTATCTAAAGAAACATGATTAAAATTATGTACTGTGAAATAAAATTGTGTAATTGCAGGCACAACCAAAAACAGACTTTCAGATATGAAATATTTTCGATTCCTCAGGTGAACATCATTCAAATCACTCTGTATGATTAGCAAGCATTACCTACCGTCAGTGTATTTTCGTATAGCTGGGAAAATTAAAGCAACAAAAGCAGTGAAGATACAGTTGATAATCATATTGAAATACTTATCCAAGTAAAATAAAAATCTGTTGTAAAACCGTTAGGTAACAACTCAACAATAGGCAATAATATTCTGATTTTATCATACAGTCGTCAAGAAACATGTCAATCAACAATCGTAAGTAAATAAAAAGGTACATTGCACTCACCAATATCACATCCGGCGTGAGAAACTGTCTTTTCTTTTCTATCAGGTATAAACATCTGCTTACTGTTGTCTTCAAAAATCTGTTCCCAATCAACCGTGAAACCAAAGTTGCACAAAAACTGATTATTTAGCGCCACAATATCGTTGCGTTGAATAGCTGAAACGGAGAGAAAACAACAAATGTCATTTAGGCAATAAAATTATTATCTTGAGACCTATCCTGTCGAATATGTTTCAGAAGTGATCTAACTAAACGAAATGTTTTCGTAAATAGTGAGCCATAATTATGCATCACTTGTCTACAGATATTCTGTTTCTCAATTAAAACGGTATGACTGCCAGGGTTTATAGTTTATTATGATGAAAACGTTCGAAAACAATATGCTTTGGTTTTTCCTTCCGTCAAATAAGGTTCGATGAGACTGCTTTTATATCTGCCATAGGAATAAAGTTCTTTCATAAAAAGCTATCAGTACAGAACTTAGCACTTTCAGTATCTACAAACGACAAGGAACAGTAGAGAACTTGTCCTGTTTATTACTGTACGCTTCTCTTTTGGCCAGTGATTACGAACCAAATTTAGGTGAGACTATAATTTATGGACGAACCAATCCGGTAAATATATAAGATAACAAGTCTCAAAATTTGGTGCAAAATCAACTTAGCCACTTGGCTAAATAGAGTTTTGACATTAAAGCTGATGTCAATTCGGGACGAAAACACTAAATCTAATTCCCAAGCCTAACCGTCAACTGTAAATCATAGTTATAATTCCTCACACTGGTTTATAACCCTCAATTGATCCTAGTTATAAATGTCACAATAAGATCTAAGAAAATGTGGAATGTTACAAAAGAGTGACCAAACGAGAGGACGACCATTATTTTTAGGGTAATAGCAGTAAATGTAACCCAACAGGTCACAAATTAATACAATCCAGTGTCAGTCAGGAAGTAAGTACTTTTAACCAACGGCGATCAGTATGACGTTTCAAGTTTTAGTTTCCATCCCAGAGTTTTTAAATATGAGAATTAATTTCTGCAACTTAAGTATTTTAGAAAGTGTGTCATACTGACCACTAACTACAAATTAAGCATGAAAAATTGCAAAATGTGATTAAAATAAGCCCCAATACAAAACATAACATAAACTTCATTTCTATAATACTAATACATATTTAATAGTAAAGGCAAATACTTTGAATAGAGCTAAGTGTACAAATATACGAGAAGAAAAATAAGCAGAGAAGGCACTTCAGATTCAACATATTTTCAAATAAGCGTACAAGTAAAAGTTCTAACTTCACTGATTTTGTTTACTTGGCAAGTCTTTAACTCTTAAAACTTGCCGTTTTTTTAATGTACGTGTGAAAAATTCATAGGCTCCTAGTAATTGTGAATTTATCAGAACGAAATGCTTTATCTTAAGTAAATTCTTTACTTTATTTGACTTGTATCCTCGTCTTGGATTCCGAACACAAATTAGTGGAATACTCAAGTTAGATTCACGCAGACGCAAGGAGTAGAAATATCATCAGCATGGTAAAGGCGTATGCATAAAATAACAAACACACTTTAGACAAAATTCTCACCTGTCAAACTTCGCAAATCTAGGATTTCAAGACTGTTTCGATTAATAACAAGTGCAGCACTAGTATTCATGATACGATATCCTGGTTCACCACGAATAACTTTCAAAGAAGGTAATGATATCGTTTTAACGCTATTTTGACCAATGTATACATAACCAGACACATCTTCAATCTTTTCAAGGAAAGAGAGATCAGGATCGGATCCATTTTCTACTTAATCAAACACTAGTCAATATGGTACCATACCAAGTTTCTCCAGACCACATATAACCAAATTCCCGATTATGTGGGTGCAACCCCCGTACAGAAACCTGATGTAAGTTAGCTGTATATGTTTCGGGTTAGGCTTTCCGCAGTCTCTCTCCCAAACACGACAGGCTAAAGATATCAAATTAAAAACTGCACAGACCTTTAATCCATGGGTACTCAGAAATGGAAAATTTTAAGGACCAGCAATTAAGAGCTAAAAATCTGTATCACTGGAGAAATATAAAATACCGAAAATAAAAACCAAAGTCGGTGATAAAAAATTCATTTAAGAATTATCCTGTCGAACATCCCATCAACTCTTGAACACGTGCCAAACACTATTAACCTACAGGGTTAACAAAATTAACGCACTCAAACCCAACAAGTATCCACAATATATCTTTGATATCTTTGTCACAGACTCGTATACGCTAATTAGTTTTGCTTGAGATCGCTACATGTTGTTCTTATATAGTTTCAGGTAATTTGCAATGTTCAACTGTGATAACCAAGCCATTCAACTGCACCAATTCCAGTCAGTTTGATAATTATTCGTGAATTCCCTTACATTATAGTTTGAGTGAGCGAGCATGTCTCAGAAATGCAAAGATCTTGGGTACTAAGAGCTGTCACACTACCAAGCAGGTGAGTGAGTTGATTTTAATGTGAAAATAACAAGGTGATAATTAGAGTACTGAGGTGATTGTTTCAGGAATGAACGAACACGATGATTAACTGGTAATGCGGACATCGTGAGAAGACAGACTTGAAATAACGAGAGGGAAAGCGAAAATGATAATGATTCTAGTGATCCCATGTGTAGAAGTCTATCCTCATAAGGTTTTTGTTTTTGACTTATCAACCACTTGGCTACCCGTCTCTATATTTGTCCTGGTAGATTTATATCTCTTCAAAATAGAGGAGACGCAAGGACGCTATGCAATTCAAATTAAGGCCGTGTGTATGTCTTAAAAAGTTTTAGGAACAACTGTGAAGTGATTGCGTCAAGTTGTCTGAGCATAAAATGGAGAGTTGAGTCCAGCTTTGGATGCATCCCTCACATAAATGAGTTGATGTCCTAGCTCTTAGTGGTTTAACGGGCGAGATGAAAATCAGGGGAGTCAACTGAGAGGCCATTTCCATGGGGATCGTAAAGGCTTTATATCAAATGAGGCAGTATATTCATAACATGACATTTCTACAGATTAAGCTTTAATCGATTGAAAGCTGCCCATTCCTCTATTGCTGTAATGTCTTTTTGAGAGTAAAATGAATCCTTATCGCTTTTTACAGACTTCCTGATATCTGCGTTGTCTGTATAAGTCAACTTAGTCGAGTCAATTATATCTAACAGGTCTTTATTAAGGATCATGAATAGGAGTGGAAGTAAGATTGATTCTTGTGCTCAGGTGGATGATTTTGGTGGAGTTTTGTTCGCTGAGCTGGATGGTTTGGTCGTGGAGCTTTCATTGTTCTTCTGGACGACATCAACCAACCACTACATCAATCCCCTACACAATTCCTGGACCAAATTAAGGACATCCAAATCAACAACGAAGAACTGATGATATCCTTCGACGTAACAGCATTATTCACCTCAATTGAACCAAAATTAGCAAAAGAAACTATATCCCTGCTGCTCAACAACGACACAAACCTCACTAAATGCACGAAGCTTCAAATTCAAAGTCTACTGGAACTCATCAATTTATGCCTAATAACATATTTTCAATTCAACAACAAAATCTGCGAACAAACAAAAGGGACGCCCATGGGATCACCATTATCAGGACTGATCGTAGAGGCAGTGATGCAAAGACTAGAAGCCACGATACTATTAGTGATCAAGCCAAAAATTTGGATTCGCTACGTAGACGACACCTTCGTCATCGTCAAAAATAATGAACTGGAAAACACATACAAACTGATCAACAACGTTTTCGATGACATCAAGTTTACAATGGAACAGGAGTCAAACAACAAACTAGCATTCTTGAATATATTGATCACTAGAACCGACACAGGAAAACTGGAAACTCAAGTATATAGAAAACCGACCCATACAGATCAAATTCTCAACTACAATAGCACAATTTAAGAGCTCACAAAATCAACTGCGTACACAATATGTTCAAGAGGGCGAGGACACTCTGCAGCACACTGGCAGCACGAAGAAATGAAGATAAATACCTGAAAGATGTGTTTCAAAAGAACGGCTACCCAATCAAGTTCATCAAAAAATACTAGCCGCACGCAGCATTAGAACTCAAGTCAATCACAAAAATCAACAAAAGGATCACCCTAACATATATACAAGGAATATCAGAAACCACAACCAGACTGCTGAAAGTCTTCAGAATAGGCGTGGCGCACAAACCAACAAAACCACTACAATCAATCCTATGCAAACCGAAAGATGAAATAACAAAAGAAAACAAATCGAACATCATTTACAATATAAATTGTACCAACTGCGAAAAACACTGCATCGGACAAAGCAGACGCCACCTACACCTTCTCCTACATGAACATCAATTAGCAGTCAAACGAAGTGATATCTCTACACTTATATCAATACACGTGGACAACTGCGGATACACATTCGATTGGAAATATGTGGAAATCTTAGACAGCAGAAACTCCAAAAACACCAGAGAATTTTTAGAAGCCTGGCATTCAGGTCAATCAGCAATCAACGAACATATTGAAATCAATCCAATTTAGCAAACAATCAGAAAAATCATGCACAAATATAGGAACAAAAATCAAACCAATGGAAGACACAACCAAAACAAAGAAGTAAACAATGATAAATTTAAGGTCAACAAGAACCAATCAACATCGAGGTGCACAGAACAAGCTGTGAAACACATATGGAGAAATTCGAACACTTCACTTCTATTTGAAGTTTGTGCTGATGATATTGTTCAGAAGAACGATGAAAGCTCCACTGCTAAAACATCCAGCTCAGAGAACAAAACTCCACCAAAATAATAAATATTCCTAGATAAGAATATGTAAAATGAGGCATGCCATTTTACAGACAAGATCAAACTTTGACATATGCTACAGGTTTTACGTTAAAAAGATATTTAAATACGTTAATATGTTGTAGGACTAGTTTGTTGCGTAAATAGAGGATAACTTTTCATACATTGGAATATTAATGTTAGCAAAACCCTTATGTTTAATGTGAGATTTGATGCTTTATGGGGGTTACGTTGCGACAAACTATTGGTGGTCGAGAACGAGTGGGACTTAAGTCCAGAACAGTCGTTTGAAGATGATAACTTTAACGTATTATTTCACGCTTTTTGGTAGCAACAGCAGGTAAATTTCGGAAGTATTATTGATGATGTAGGACAAAGTCATAAGTTCCACATATGTATTCGGTTCGTAATGAAAACCCTGAACCTGATTCCTAACCCTAACCACCAACTGTAAATCACAATCCTTATTTCTTACGGTGGCTTATAGTCGTCGTTTAGTCCTGGTTAGTAGGTGGACATTCTCAGGGTCACTTTAGCGTCGCTCCATGGTTGTCCATAAATTATAATCCCACCGTGTTTTCATTTGTGATGGAACAGTAAAGGTATGGCCACTAAGACTCATTCTCTTTTATTAGATCAATTTCTAAGCAAGTATGTCTCATCAGGTTCAAGAAAACAAGCCACAGTATGGCGTGGAATTGAAATGGTTTAAGAGAACTGAAAGTTTGTGATTGTGTATTTTAAAAACCATTACGAAAACAGTGTTCGAACGCTGACTGTCATTTTTTTCGTCAAATTTATTACAACTCGTCTTTATTTTATAACTTTTAAAAGTCATGATTGAACTCCTATTTAGCGTAACTGTCCAGTTTTGACTGCAGTAGAATTTCTCAGTAGGGAGGGAAACTAATTCTAGGTTACGAACACAGATCAAGAAGATACTTAGCACAAGAGATTAGCACCAATGGTTCAAATGTTTTTGGACGGAATAGAAGAAGCTTTTGCTTTTCAGGCTTCTGTGTCTAGTAGCAGTGGATCACCAATAAAAGAAACTCACAACTATTCAGGTATTCTAAGCTTCCTATGATCGAACATAGTTGAGCGGTACTCATAGGGTTAGAGTTTTCTGTCTATGAACTGGTGGGTGCTAAATTATTTTTTAATGTTCATGCAGTTTATGTTTGCTGATGATTATTTACAACCAGTCAACGATCCGCGGTCTAGAGATGTGGTAGTCCATGGAGGGGATAAGGGTGATTCATTGTCGTAAGTCGAGGTACTTTTAAGGCTCAGTGTGTGCAACACCATCGGTTGTTATGGGGATCGAAAGAAAAACTCATCAAACATGGTGTTGATTATTTGTTGTTTGTGACATAATAAAAGTAATAATATATGTTTGTTACATGACGCATGCCAGTTTACAGGCAAGATCAAATGACCAAAAAAGATGCAATTTTCACTGTAGTAAATTACTCAGCTTGGTTGACATTTTATGAAATATGAATGTAGATGGTTTTAGCAAGAATCGTATTGTCAAAATCACAGTTGGCACGCCTTTTGAAGGCTGTGTTGCGACGTGTAATCAACGGTCGAGAATAGATCCATGTGAAGTTAGGGGCATCTAGAAACCCCAAACTCATATCCCTTCTGAATATCTGAGGCTTTGATGATGGTGCAGGACGAAGTCACCTGTTCCATGTCTGTTTTTAGTGTCATATTTCAAGGGGGCTGAAAAAGAGTGCAAGAAAAAGAAAGAATGAGAAGCAGAGCAGACATTGTCCATGAAGGAATATTTAATGTATGACTACTCAGTCTAAATCTCTTTTATTAAGGTATTTATTAAGCAAGATCATCTTAATATGTTAAAGAAAATACGTGTAAACAAGATATGAGTGGATAAACAACTGACAAATGGAAATGGTTCAGAAAGAAGCTGGAAGTATTAGATTATGTGCTGTTATCAAATACAGTGCTGAAAACTGTAACTAAGTGCCAGTCCGTTATTTAATCAAATGTTTAGATGTTGGATGATCAATTGTTAAGTGTAGCTTGGCTTAGGTAAGCTCCATAGAGTCTGTGGGAAACTTTGGATTGGTCCATAAAGTATCTTGGAGAAGATTTTAATCGAGTTAGCGTTTGACCTGACCAGATGTTTACTGGCAACCCATTCCATAAGCCTGCATAACGTGTGACAAAGATAATCAAATTTGTTTAGCTTTTTGGTCACGAGATCGTTAGTACAAAACCCCGATTCAGACGGTTTAGGCAAATTTTAACATATCACGAATTACTATATTTTTATTATACATAATTTTGTAAAGCATTATGAGGTCGGGTTAATTCGTCTTAACGATAAGAGTTCCAGTTTCCATGCTTCGTATCTATTTTTATATGACAGATCAGGTACGAGAAGTCTTGTAAAATGGCATTGCAATTTTATAA